TGCACACCTGCTCTAGAGCCTAGGAAGGAAATCATCCCCTAGTGCCATTGTGCACACCTGCTCTAGAGCCCAGGAAGGAAATCATCCCCTAGTGCTGCTGTGCACACCTGCTCTAGAGCCCAGGAAGGAAATCATCTCCTGGTGCCACTGTGCACACCTGCTCTAGACCCCAGGAAGGAAATCATCTAGTGCCACTGTGCACGCCTGCTCTAGAGCCCAGAAAGGAAGTCATCTCCTGGTGCCACTGTGCATACCTGCTCTAGAGCCTAGGAAGGAAATCATCTCCTGGTGCCGCTGTGCACACCTGCTCTAGAGCCTAGGAAGGAAATCATCTCCTGGTGCCGCTGTGCACACCTGCTCTAGAGCCTAGGAAGGAAATCACCTCCTAATGCCCCTGACCTTTAGTTCACACCCTGCTTTAAGAGCCTAGAAAGGATTCTCATTAGCATTTTCTCATGATTTCTATTGCAATCCTGTACAGATGATATAATTACAACCTTACTTAGGCTGTAAAGGGAGATGGCAGGTTGAGTAAAGTTCTAACCCACAATTACTTTGTTTTAAAAAATTACAATAACAAAATTGGAGTACTTCTCTAAGTCGTTAAAGCAGCTTGCTGCTCCCCTCTGCCTCCATGACTTAGTCACGTGCATCAGCCCTTGCGCAGGCCACGAAGCAGCCTCTTGCCCACTGTCCTCATTTATTTTATCAATGTACTCATTGCCTCCGGCACAGCTAAAGACAATCTTACGAACGCTTCTGTCTACAGACGGAGGTAATCTTTCCTCTCAGCTCTGAAATCGCAGGGCTGCATCCCTGAAGTAAGACACTTCCCCATGGAGTCTGACTATTTGCACCAGGAATCCTTTTGCAGTTACTCCAACACATGCACTCATCTCACCAACACGCCTAAGCTTGTGCCAGCCTAGAACATTGCTTTCCTTCTCTGACCTTTCTCAAAGGCCCGTCCATGTTCCTGACCATCCATCCTTGACGCCTATTTCTTGGTCAGTTCAGAAGAAGCACCCTTTAGTAGCCTCCCTTCTCTGGGCCCCGTGCTCTCTGCCACACTCCTTTGACAGATACTACGTCAGCCTAGCCTGGACAGTTCTCACTGGCTATTTACTGTCTGTCTACAAAGGCTCTAGTCTCCACAAAGACTGCTCCACTCATGGTTCGCTATGCTTATGTATGTTTTGTCCCCACAAAAGTTCATTTGCAGGAATTTGGAACTCTAAGATTGGCAATCTAGAGGCAGTGGAATCCTTACGTCAGTGGTTCTCAACCTTCCTAATGCTGCATTCCCTAAATACGGTTCTTCAGATTGTGGTGACCCCAACCGTGAAATTATTTTACTGCGATGTCATAATTGTAATTTGCTACTGTTCTGAATGGTAATGTAAATATCTGACATGCAAGATATCTGATTTGTGACGCCCACAGGGACTGTGACACACAGGTTGAAAAATGATGCTCCACATGATGTGAACTAGGGGACAGACACTGAAGGGCACCCTCAAAGGTGGGGACGGTTAATCTCCAACTCCCATGAGGTTAGGTGTTGTGCAACTGGACTTCACATCTGAAAAGTAGATTCTGGAAAAGCCAGCTTGGCTTTACCAGCTGGCTCTCCTGCTCCCTCTCTCATGGCAAGACCTTCCCTGACCCACTCATGCGTATCTGCCTACCATGATGTCCTGAGACATTAGTGCTTCTGGGACTTGGAACAGCCTACAGGACATGCTGCTAGGACCCTGTGACAACTGGAATTATGAACCATATAAACCTACTTCTTTTATAAATCACTCAGCTCAAATATTCTCTTTGAAAAATGCAGACTGGATTCAGATATGGTTGGAGCCCAGCACTGAGCAGTTTCTGGCATGTACTGGACCAGTATCACATTAATTTGCAACTTTTAGACTTTTTAGACTTTTCTTAATTATTCTGTCTTATTCATACAGAAACAAAGTTCAAAGTACAGAGCTTTACAAATAGTAAGTACTACTTAACAAATTATTAAATGGAGAACTTTCATTAACAGTGGGTAAAATTATTTGAAGACTTAAAACAATATTGGCTGAGCTGCATATTATTAATATAAATAGTATTAATACTCATGTCTACTATATGGTAAGCAAGGCAACATTTCAAATCAATGTACCATATACTAAAACTTACTAGTGACCGGATCAAACTTAAGTCTACTCAGTTGTGAAGCCATCTGAATTATATAACGGCCATTTACAGCTACTTACAGTCTTCAATCCCCTGTACTATCAAGCTCTACACTCCACACTCCATGGTCTCTTCATCAGCTGAGTTCATCATGCAGAAAGTTTCAACATACCAATAGCTGCTCATGAACAAACCCATTTTGAGCATTTGAAAGCCTTCATCTGCCAACCATCAAGTTTTTCCTTTTCTCCTCAATCTATAGAATTGACTACCCATCCTTTAAAATAACAGTCAGGGTCCACTTCTTCCACAACGTTGCTCTTCATTCTAAAGAGCCTAGCTCCAGCTCAGCTTTAATTCACACGCCCATTCATGCGTGAGCTTGCTCATTCACAAGCACTCATTCATTCACTCAGGAGCACCTGGTTCATGGCGACCCTGTGCACACAGCATTCTAAACGTCCAAATGGATTCATGTAACCACAAATGCTGCCTTCTCCAAAATCCTCCAGTCATTTAGCAGCATACAGATTTATGATAAGGGTTATATTAATTGTAGAAAGATGAATACTAATAAAGGCTTACTAAGTTTCTTGAAGTTATTCCTAAATATCATAACAAGACACCAGAAGCAAAGGAAAAACTCAGTATATTTGCATTCTATGGGAACTGGGGGATTAATTAGATCTTTAAAAAGCACACAAAAGTAATGACACTCCAGTAGTAAATGTCACAAAGGATACATAAACAGGCAATCCACAGAGTACAAATGTCCCTAACAAGTACATAAATATACTTCATCTCACTGCAGAATTGCAAATTGAAGCAATAAAATGGTATCCTTGTTTATCTGTTTTAGACAGATGAGCAAAGCTCTCACCCTCAAGACTGACAAGGGCATTCGTGTATAAGTATTAGTTATTAAGCCTGAAAGGGTGGCTCAGCAGATAAAAACACTTGTCTAAGCAAGTCTGACCTACTGAGTTCAGTCCCGAGAGTTCACAATGGAAGAAAAGCATCAACTCCAAAAGTTCTCCTCTGATTTCTACACACAGATAGCATGTCCCAATGCTTACACACAACAGTAAATAGAAATTTATTATCTATAAAATGAAGAACAGCTTTTCTAGATAATAACTTGGCAAACGAAGTAAAAGTACACGCTTTGACTCAGAAATTCTGCTTCTATGATTACTGCCTGAAGGAAACAAAGGGCATGTGTTTATGTGTGTGTGTGTGTGTGTATGTGTGTGTACATGTGTGTATACAACTTATGTGTAGGATGTATTATGAGAATCTCATTTAAGAATTATAAGAAATCCCCTGATAAGGAGTACATTAAAAGCATCTAATCAGTAGGCCACAAAGGTAGCAGTTACAGAGGTAAGACCCAAGATAGTGGAACACACCTAAAACCTAGCACTCAGGAGGCTGAGGCAGGGATCCTCAGTTCCAGGCAAGACTAAGCTGTATTCCAAACCTTGCCTCAAAAGGAGAATGAGACAGTCGACACTATTTGTGTGACCATTTAACAATACACTGTTACATAGGCAAACAGGCGCTGAAGATTATGACTATATTCAAACCTGCCTAAGGAGCCCCCTAACATATTAAAGGTGCAACAGTGAATGCTCTCAAAGCTACCTTTACAGTAATTTCAGCTGCACCAATTTGTGCCGATGAGAATTCCTAAATCTTTAATTCTAAGAATTTTGCATATCAGAAGTCCTGAGTGGAAATTTATCACAAGGCCTTAAAATGCCTCTGTGTAGCTGCGCCTTTTCACCATCAAAATACAACAAAAGGCATTTTTCCCAAGTCCTGAATTTTGAATATATTACAAAAATTCAGCTTTAACACTAAATCTTTGATAACCAATGACAATTTGTGTTGAACATAATTTATGGAAATCATGAATTACAACTATTTACTTCAAAAGACTATTTATTGTGCTTTTTTTTAAAAGAAAAAAAAAGTAGCATCCTTTAAACATTTAAAGAGATCAATCCTAAACTGTTGCAGTCACGTGCACTAGCGAACAATTACAAACAGCCACGAGGCCCTGGACAGGGCAGGACTGGGAATCTGGAGTCGGAAGATCTGGAAATAAAGATCACTCTTTTGGCTCAAAAATCTGCAAGCAAATACCCCATCCGCGCCTCTGACATGGATCTAATAAATGCAGATAAGCATGAAAAAGAACTGAATGTAAAGCCTGGGAAAGGGACCTCAACCAGATCTGCACTAGAATGGGTTCCCAAACGTCTGTCCAGTAGACAGCACCACTTACCTGTTCATCTGATTGTCTCTGATGTGTCATGCACAGCTACCCTGTCTCAACTTTATACTAATAGTAAAAAGGAGCTTCTTGTCCCCCCCCGACATCCTCCCGTTAGCATGCCCTTTTCCACTGTGAATATATAACAATGCAAAAGATGTCTTCAGGTGCTAAACTCACAAAGAAAGCTTACTTACACAGTACACTCCCAGAACTCTGGGCTGCTGTCCTTTGAGCTCAGTGCTCTTCTTAGGCACGGATGCCTGCCTCCTATCATTTCTTCATGAGATTCCGGGCAAAAGGTCCAGTCCAGTCGATGATCTTTTGGGTTGCCTCTACACTTCCCCCAAAACACCTACAAACCAGTGAAACAGGTAGTGAACAGAACTATAACTTGAAACTATTCTAATGAAAATTATTTCATCCTCCTTATGCATAAATTAGAGAATCCCATGAAACAGTGAAAATAGATTCCTATGGTCATCCAAAAGCCCAGCCTGCAAATTCCTTTTAAGTGGCATTTTCTGCCCAAGCCTAGTCATCACTGAACTTTCTAGATAACGCTAGGGAGATGAATTGTACCCCAAGTCTAGACAAAAGTACAGACTAAGTATGTCAACTGGGAGACTAAACTGAGCGATAAAATCAACATATTTTTCGGAAATTGCTGGCTCATTTGTAAGTGTAGGCCACCATCCACCTCTTTAAAGACATATTATGTATGGCTGATCAGTCCTCACAATGGCAAAACAAATAAGCCAAAGTATTATATATTTGGTTGAAGAGAAGTGCAGTGGGCAGGAGTGTTTTCAACACTTTATAACTCCTCCTAAAACTGTACGAATCCACCGGGAAAGCATCTAAGAAAGCCGTTGTCAGGGCACACCAATAAGCCCAGTCAAGCAGTGGTAATACACACTGGTCTAACAGAGTAGCAAGCTTTACATGATGAGCCCTAGGCACAAGGCAATTTCTCTACACCCGAGGCTCTCAACCTTCCTAATGCTGCAAGCCTTTAATACAGCTCCTCGTGCTGGGCTGAACCCCAACCATAAAATTATTTATATTGCTACTTCATAACAATAATCTTGCTACTGTTGGGAATTGTAATCTAAAATCTGTGTTTTCCGGTGGTCTCAGGCAACCCCTGTGAAAGGGCCCAGTTGGGGTCACAACCCACAGGTTGGGAACCAATGCTCTCTGCCAAGGTCCAGCTGTCAAAGTTCATCTTCCCTCTGTGCTGTCCAGTATAGCAGTCGAATACCTATGACTCTGGAAATCTGGCCAGTTCAAATTGATACACACTATAAATATGTATTAATATTTATACATATCAGATTCTGAACATCCAGTACCATTTTCAAAAAACATAATATATAACCCAGGTGGGGCCACACACGTTTGACTCCAGCGCTGTGGAGGCAGAGGCAGGAGGATCTCTGTGACTTGAAGATCTGTCTGGTCCATCCAAATAATGAGTTCCAGACCAACCAGGGCTACACTGTAGGACCCTGTCTAAGGTGTGTGTGTGTGTGAGTTTTATATTTATATTTATATATTTTATGTACTGTGCCAAATAAATTAAGATTGATCGCAGAAGTTTGCTTTTACTTTTAATACAGGTACCATAAAACTAAAAACCACCTGTACAATTCGTATTTCTGTTAGACACCATCAGTTTTAGGAAGAAGTGTTGAGAATTTGCTTTGTGCTAGGCAATGCGCCAAGTATTTTGCATAATCCTGACAGGACGCTACAACATCTACCTTTACTGAACCTTTTAACCCTATACAGGATGCAGCTGGAATTCAAAGTTTGGCATTTCTACGAATTAATTCCAGAATTGGGTCGCTAACCGCTACGACCGGGGCGTCTCCTAATTAGCAAAGGAAAAAAAAAACAAGTGACTACAGGAAGGAGAAGTTATCAACTAATATACCCTCGGGGCAGTCAACTAAATGTCAGATAGCTAAAGCCTCTAGGAGGCTAGCCCGCGGCGGGCTGCACCAAAGACAGGACAAGGCACGTTCAGAGTGAGACAGCCAGAACCTGACCGTGGACGACCTGTTGAGGGGTGCAAACATGCCATCGCCCCCACCTTGCCAAACACTGCACCGACACACCCGAACCCACTCCACATACCACCTGAAGCTCTGCTGTCTCCACCCTGACACAAGGGGAAGTGGGACATAAATGTCTCTTCAGGGAAGTGAGAAAAAAGACAGGGGGCAGATGGGGCAGGTACCTTAGACCCAAGGTGACTCCAGGTTCTTAACGCCGGATCATTGCCGAGGTCCCACCCGGCTCCCGCGGCTACCAGTGACCCCGAAGGTGCAACTGACCCAATGCTGCGGCGCAACCGACTCTGCTCACCCGGGACTCGCAGCTATGGCAACTTGAACTAGCCGCCCAGGCGCGGCTAGAGCACAGGACGCGCCGCCGCCGCTTGGCCCTATGGGAGCTGTAGTTCATCCCGCGCCCAGAACCGAGAGAGACCAGCGACGATGACAGTAGATGAACTACAAGTCCCAGCATGCTCTGAGTCTGGCCTCTAGGTTCCTTTCCCGGAAGAAGCTGGATAAGCGGTCTTTACGGATCCAGGGCCCTGCCTTCTCCCCAGACTCTAATTTTGTTTTTTTAAAGGGCGAGTAACCTGTGACGACTCAAACTTCTGGAAGAAACTGAATTCAAATGTTACCTTGGCAGTGAGTGTGGTTTTACTCATTAGGAAACATCAAAGGATTAGTAATAGCCAGCAGTGAGATGTAAAAATCGCTTTTTAAAGGATTGGGACTGAGGGGGAATAAAGAAAATTATCAAGTGAAACACTTTCTGCCTAGAGTGGCTGGACTAAACTCTTACAGCTTAGTGGCAAACTACAAATCCAGTGTGAGGCGATCTGTTCATTACTACTGTGTAACGTCCTCACTAGAACGTGAAAGAAGTATTTTCTTGGGGAGGGGGGGGAGGAGGCAGCTTCAGCCAAAATGAGAAGATTAAAACCTTGAGGAAGGAGCTTTGGAAAAACTAAGAAGTGAAAATCCATTAGGGCCGTCAAAGTCTGTCTTTTCCTTCTACTCTGCCAATAAAGGACCTCACCTTCCCCAAAGCTACAATCAAAATTTGCATGACTTATGGAAGTTTTCCTAAAATCTAAATAAATAAGTAAAGAAAGAAGATGAAAGCTCTCAGTGATTCTCAACCTGTGGGTCACAATCATCGGAAAACCTATCTTTGATGGTCCTAGCGATCCAAACACCACTCAGTAGCAAAATTACAGCTATGAAGTAGCATTGATGATTGATTGATTGATTGATAGTTGAGGTTTTTTTGTTTTGTTTTGTTTTTGTTTTATTGAGACAGAGTTTCTCTGTAGCTTTGGAACCTCTATGAACTCTCTATGTAGACCAGGCTGGCCTCAAACTCACAGAGATCCACCTGATTCTGCTTCCCGAGTGCTGGATTTATAAAGGCGTGCGCCACCACCACTGCTAGGGGGTTCTAAGACTATCGAAACTGAGCATTTTCACGACCCCCAGGTTGAGAACTAGCTACTAGATTGTCTTATGACACAGGCTATCTATTCTGACCACTCTGCACAGGATAATGCATTCCCCACCTAATCTCTCCCATGGGCCTAGAAACAAAAGATCTGACCTTTTAAAGCATCTCCTCCTTCCAAATTACCACCCTGCTCACACAAAGACTTTTCCTAATCAGTTTGAACATAAATTATTCTAAAGACTTACCTACGTATCTGCATCAACAGTTGTGCCTCTAGAATAAACTCCACCTGACGCAGAGAGAAACATAATTCAGAATAGCCATACAAGCAATGCTTTCAGAGGCATACTAGCTCTGTTTCTTAACAGTTGACTTTCACAAATCAATTTATTCAGATTAGCAAATATGCATATCGAAACATTTTAGAATCTTGTCGTTCTATTAGACACAAGACACAAAGATAACAAAGAGATTAAAAACAACACAGTCCTTTTGCTCAAGTTAGAACCAATGGAAGGAGCCGACAATTCATTACAATGCTGGGGTAGACCACTATACCAGCATTTATGTAGAAACATAGAAGAGAACCTTCCTTAGGAAATAAAAGTGATCCACTGCCAAAAATGTGCTGCCACAATGCTAGAATAACTGAACTACATTAGCAAGAATTAATTGGTGATAACATTTTTGTACAGCTGTATTTATAAAATTGTATTCAATTCTGTTGACTCCATTTTAAAGAGATATTGGCCAAGTAAAGAAAAAAATCAGAAACCACAGCTGGGACCACAGAAAAAGAAATCAGACTTGACTTCATTATGGTTAAAAATTGGGAGCTGAGCATGGTGGCTCATGCCTTTAGTTCCAGCACTCAGGAGGGAGAGACAGGAGGATCTCTGTGACTTTGAGGCCAGCCTGGTCTACAAAGAAAGTTCCGAAATAGCCAGAGCCATTATTCAAGACAAAGCTTTGTCTCGAAAAACAAAAAGATTGTATATACATGATTGAGTTAAAAACTATTGTCATATGCCTCGGTTGGCAGAAGTGACTTCCTCTGTGCTTAATTTCTTCTGTCAACAATGGGAAAGAATAGTAGGTCAAGAGTCACATTGCTTTGAGAGTAAAATGAATTAACATGCAGGAAGCATCCCATGTGTTGTTCTCGTAGTTAGGGTTTCTAATGTTGTGAAGAGACAGCATGATCACAGCAACTCTTCTAAAGGAAAACATTTAATGGCATGGCTTACGGTTTCAGAGATTAGTCCTTTATCATGGTGGGACATGGCAGCGTGCAGACAGACATGGTACTAGAGAAGGAATCAGTTCTACTTCTTGATCTGAAGGCAACAGGAAGTGAACTGAGACACTGGGTGTGGTTTGAGCATATATGAGCCCTCAAAGCCGACTTCCACAGTGACACACTTCCTCCAACAAGACCGTATTTATTCCAACAAAGCCGCACTTCCTAATAGTACAGTCCCTATGAACTTATAGGACCCAAATACATCCAAACAACCACAGTTGCTCATCATGTGGAGCCCTAAATATATGTTAATTGCTTGGAAGTAAATTCAGCCTGAAACATTAGTCTCCTAAACAACAGGGCTTTATTTTAGTCTCAATGCTTGTGTGTTTGCTTGTTTTTGTTTCTTTTTCTTATGATCATTTTCCCTTTGAAGATTTAATTAAGCCCTGCTGGTTAAAACCAGGGCCTAAACTAAGACTTCATTGGTAAAACCCAACTATACAGGCTGTGAGACCCGCAGCACAAATTCCATATCCAGAGCCTTGAACAGTCACATCGAGTATACTTTTGAGCCATATTAAATAACCTGAGAGGCTAATCAATGAAGAGGATCTGGAATGGGGTCGGCCTGAAAACACAGGTATACTCGTCTCCATTCAGTTCATCCTGAATGGGTATGAACAGGAAAGGGAGGACAGATTCTATATAAGCAGCTGTTGAGAGGCAGATAGATTGGCAGATAAACAAGGCTGTCTTGAGCAGACAGTACAGAAGTATTGTGCTGGTACCTTGAAAACACATACCACCGTAAAACAGCAACAGTGGATTGATCATGTCCGGGCTACCGGAAAATAGATGTCAAAACCTTCTCAAATATTTATTTTTACCATTCCCTCCCCCATCTCTGTGTAAGCAAGTTAGGTTGCCACTCTCAAACAGGACTGGCTCTAGGATTTTTAAAACCCAATGCAAAATTTGAATGTGAATCCCTTGTTCAAGACTCACCGAGGAGCAAATTTGATGCTCATTGGGTAAAGGTGTTTGATGGGCTAGCCTGGCAATGTGAGCTCAGTCCTCAGAATCCACAGAAAGGTAAATGGTAAGAACCAACTCCACAAAGTTGTCCTCTGACCTCCACAAAGGTGCCATTGCACACACCATAACACCACACATACACCATGCATATTCACAATAATAATGATACATAAAAATTTTTTGGAAAACTTAACTGAGAACTTCAGACAAGGGCAAAATGCAACCACATTCTTCACCAAAATATCATAAGAATGATCTCTAGGCAACATACTAGAATTCTTCTCCTCTGCAGTCTCTTGAGTTAGTCCCCCACAGTTCATCAAATCACACTGTCTCCCATGTTCTTGTTAATATGACCAATTAAGCAGTGCTTAAAGCATTCCACTGCTTTTCTAACCCAAAGTACCAAAATCCAAATTCCTCAAAAAATAAATAAGTCCATAAATAAAACCATCAGGCCTATTACAGCAATACCCCAGTCCCTGGTACCAACTTCTGTCTTTGTTAGGGTTTCTGCTGCTCTGCACAGACACCATGACTATGGCAACTCTTCTAAAGGAAAACATTTAAGGGGTGGCTCACTTATGGTTCAGAGGTCCAGTCCATTATCATTGTGCTGGGACATGATGGTATGCAGGCAGACATGGTGCTAACGAAGTAGCTTCACACATGAGTAATGGCTACCTACAGCTTCAGATGTTACGTGATTACATTTGGCCACCACAGATAGTTAACCTCTTTTGCAACACAGCCACATAAAATAAAAGTAAGATATTCCATTACTCTGATTTAGTTGAGACTGGATGGAAGAGGAATAAACCCACTTTCTAATCCATCAGAAAACAATCTCAAATATTGTTGGACAATATGTCTTAAGTTTTCATGTAATCTACGAGTCTCTAAAAACCGGAGTGAAGGACATGATATGGCCACAATGTTATTGTCCACCCATCAAACTGCAATTTTAGTCATTTGCCTTGTAGAAGTATAGCTCATCCCATAATGTTCTTTTTATCGTACACTTTTTTAATTTTAATTTTAATTTTTTGGTTTTTTGAGACAGGGTCTCACTGTGTTGCTTTCCAGCCTGTCCTGGAACTAGCTCTTGTAGACCAGACTGGCCTCGAACTCACAGAGATCCTCCTTTCTCTTTCTCCCAAGTGCCAGCATTAAAAGCGTGAGCCACCACTGCCCGGCTCTATCATACACTTGTAATTTTAGATAGTTATGGCAATTTTATAACATTGCAAACAAAGGCACTGGGGTCAAAGTGAGCAACTAATAATTTGTTAAGCCATTATGGAGGATTATGAGTGTAATCAAGCAATACAGCCTCTGCCACACCTTTTGAAAAGGATAAGACACAAAAATGCAAAACCACTCCACCTTCTGAACTGTGGACCGTGTAAATGGTTCTTCTCAGATAAAAGAAAACATTGTATTCTGTAACTAGTCTCATCTATTTGTTACATTTAAAAGAAATTTGGGTGTGTGTTTAATGGCTACACTTTTCTCTTAATGCACTTCTAAATCGATTCGTCATCTCGTACTTTTTCTGGCTCAAAATTTATGTTAAGGGAAGAGAATTGCTTTAGTGATTACCATAGTCACTCGCTGAGCATGCTATTAGGACACGTTATCCTGAAAGCTTGTTCCAGTTTTCTGAGTTGAAACCATTAGGCTTGAAAGATTCTACTCTCATTATCATCTCTACTAAACCAATTCTATGCTGTCTGAATCTTGGTTTAAAATGTTACAGATTTCAGCACACCACTTGTGTTCCGAGTAAAGGCAGAATCACAGCAACCAAATAGGCCTTCTCCTCAGAACATGTGGACAATAGTGCAAATCAGACAAAGAATGTACTTTCTGAGAGTGAGGCAGCCGATGGCACAAACCTCACAATTGCCACAGTCGAAAAAGCGTCTTGGCTGTGGTGTAAAGAGAAAGAAACAACAGGCAGTGAGTGCCCACTAATGCTGTGAATTTGGAAAGGGGCTAGAGAGCCTTGGGAAGGGGAGGTACATGGAGTTTTTGTGACAAATTAAGAGCGAGCAAAAAGCCATGTGGAGAAAAATTCCTAAGAACCACAACAGGTCCCCATGGAATATTCAGAAGCCTGTTAACTATTACACACACGTGAAGATATTAAAACTGGACAGAGACATGTCTCCCAAGCTCAGAGGAGGAGACACCTGCCACTTACCCAGGACCCAGAACAGCAATCACCCCGATCGACCAGACTGAAACATTGAGTAATTCAGGGATCATTGACTGAGTGTTCCAAACGTCTTACCTAAGAAAAGGTAAGGGCATAGCTCTAGCTTAAATGCTGTTCTAGTCACCTGCAACAAATGTTTTAAAAACAAAATCAGCAAAAAATGCCCAATGCCAGATTGTTTTTACGTAATTTAACTGTAGGAAGGCACGATGTCCACGTGCTCGCTGAAAAGCACTAAAGACACCAGAATTGTTAGACACACAGGCTTTTTCTTCAACGGAAGAAATTGACGCCTGTTTGCCTGGAAGGCTGGAGTGGATGTTGTTTGATAACTCTTGTTATTTGATAACTTGTTATTTGATAACTGGTGCTCTTTGCTGCTCTGTGGCTCCAGCCCTCACCTCCATCCCCAAGACTTCTGAGTCACTAGAAAGATGTCCTATGTACTTTGTGAAAGAGTTTGTTATTGTGTTTATTACAAACCCTTCCTCCCAAGCCACCTTATTCTAAACATTGTTTCGAAGTCAAAAGAACCCATTCTTGTAGAAAAGGTCACAGGTGCTCTGCAAAGGCCGGGAACTTTCCAAGGGAGTTACAATGTAGTCATGCCCTGAGTTTTGCTGGGATAATTGTCAGGAGGAAACGTTCTTCCAAAGTTACTTTGTTGTAATATGTAAAACAAGCAAACAAACAAACTGCTTGGCGTCAGACTCCAGAAGTTTGAACCAGCCTGGCTAGCCACATCATGCTGAACCCAGCTTCAGTCTTGCCTCTCCATGGATCATTTCGCTGTTGGCTGTGACACTCTCTGGGACTCCCACATTTAAGCATACCTAGTAATAAATAGCAAGAGTATTCACCGTAGCTGCAAAACAAATTGCCAAACACTGTAACATTTACAGTGTCTTCTATCCAAACAGACAACGCACACAGACAAAATGCCAGCTCATTTTAGGAAGAAAAATGAGTCAATCCAGATTGATCTAATACCAGCAAAGACACTAAAGTTATCAAATAAGGATGTTGTATGAGTTGAATTGTGCCTTCCAAAAGGTATCTTCAATTTCTAATTTGTAGGATCTGCAGATAAGACCTTATTTGAGATATAGCCTTTATGTATATTGAAGGCAAGTTTTGGTCATTTTGGATTAATCCCAATCCAAGGATCGACATACTTAAAAGAAGAAGAAAACTTGAACAGAGAGGCACATGAGGAGAGAGAGCCTTTTGATGATGGAGGAGAGTCTGCAGTCGTTCAAGTCTAGGGCTAACAAGGAGGGCTGACAACTACCTAAAGCAAGGAGAGTCTGAAAGAATCATCCTCCAGAGCTCTAAGAAAGTAAATGTCCTTGCCTACAGCTTGGTTGTAGACTTCCAGACTTACAAACTACAAGAAAACTGATGTAACTAATTCGAAGACATTAAGTGTGTGGGACTTACTTTGTTGTTGCAGATCTTGGAAAGTAACATAGACATCAAAGGAGTCACTGTGCTGTACAGGTTTTATGGAGAAAGAGAACTTCTAGAAATAAAAACTGTGGTTTATGAAAGAGAGATTTTAAGGATTGAATAGTCCAGGAGGGATCTTTAAAAACTGAATTTGGAAGACTCAAATGAAAAGCAGAGAGAAAAAAAATTTCAGTCTAACCCCCTCCCAGCTGAACTATTTTGACTCTCAGTGAGACATTATAGTCTTGGGGGAAAGTGTTTCAATATTTTGTTTGTGGGACAATTTCAGCCAGTTGAAAGTGCAACAATTGGGATCCTAAATAGAAGGGAGCGAGAAGGGGGAACAGAAAAGACATATGACTGAAATCTCCCAATTTTGATGAAAATCATTTACCCACCTGTGAAGCTTAGTATCAGTTGTCAACTTAACAAAATCTAGAATCATCTGGAGAAGGTGCCCCTGGGTATGCTCATGGAGGATTATCTTGGGTATTTTAACTGAGGTGGGGAAACATATGAACCTCAAACATATTCGATCCATTCCCTGGCTGAGATCCTGGACGGCATAGATGATAGAAGGGTGCTGAGCACCAGCATGCATCTGCTGCTCTCTGCTTCCTAACTGTAGGTGTGACACACATCCCCTGCTCTCTGCTTCCTGACTGTTGGTGTGGCACACATCCCCTGCTCTCCGCTTCCTGACTGTAGGTGTGACACACTCCCTGCTCTCCGCTTCTCCATCATGGGCGTGGCGCGGCCAGCTGCTTCCAGTTCCTGCTGTCTGAACTTCTCTGTTCTTACCTTTTCTCCATTAAGCCGTTTTTGCCAGGGTATTTCATCACTGCAACAGGAAAATGAACTAAGACATCACACTCCTCCTGTCAAAGAAGCTTCTGTAACCTGTGGAGAACATCATAGAAATCCACAATTGGTCAGAAGGCAGAGAGCAAATGGCCACTGAGTACCCAACCCTAAGTGAAGTATCTACAACACAGCCCTCTACCTACAGCTTTAGCGATGCTGTGAGAGAGGGAGGTGGGAGGACTGTAAGCACCAGAGGACCAGGATGTCTTGGACATAGTGACTTCTATATATCACAGGGAAGCTGTGAAATCTCGACAATATGGTCACCTAACCAAGACCTGCACAATGACAACACCAACTGACTATAATATGGGACATATGAACCAAACATACACTGCCTTTAGAATATTAATGAAATTAGCAAAGCTCTAAATATGTCAATGAGAAAAACAGAATGGACACACAAAATGGCAATATCAGGTATGAAAGAATTAAACATTAGAGCAGATTATGTGTGTTCTTATAATTATATAGAGGCAATATTGCAAACGACTTTATGGCAATGGATATACCCATAGAAAACTAATCCTTTATAAAATAAAACTTCCAAACTGCTTCAAAGAGAACGAAAGAACCGGTATAGCATTACACTTGTTTTTAGAAGTTAAACTTGTAGTGAAAAACTCAATATTTAAGTAATTTCACTGGCAAATCCTACCAGATAACAACAAAATATTAAATTATATATGAACTATAATATAAATGTAGACAGGAGGAAACATTTCTCAATTCAGTCTGTGATGAAAGAATCAATTACTGAGAATAATACTGTCCAAAAGAAACTAAAGAAAAGAGTAACAGACCACCTTCCCTAAGAACATCTACACAAAACTCTCAAACAGAATTTCAGTCAAGTTACTGCAAGAATACATTCAGAACAGTCAAAGGGCATTTATCCCTGGATTTAAGATGGGTCAACATTCAAGATGCAAGCACTATAGTTCTTCACATTTACAAACTACCATGGAGCCATCACACTGAAGACTGAGAACAGTTTTAGTTCCCAGAAAAATCTCTAGGTGTTGGTAGCCAGCCTCTTTTGAGATTTCAGTCTTTCTAACTCTCACATGGCCCATGTGGCCTAGAACTTGCTGTATAGCAGAGACCTTGTTCCTCCTGCCTCTGGTTCCCACATGTTGGGATTTCAGAAGTATACCACCACACCATGTTTGTGCTCTGCTGGGCTTGGAACCTCGGGTATGTTAGGAACCTTGAGCTTGCTAGGCGAGCACTCTACACTGAGCTACATTAATTCCCAGAATTAATGTCACGTATATGAATGGTCACATATAAATACATGATGTTTGAATGTGGTTTCTTGCACTTATCATTCACATTTAAGATTTGTATCTGTGAGTAAACTAAGCTGGATTCATTTTTACTGTAGAATGACATCTGTGCGTACACAGTCTTCTTAAAGGACATGTGTGGCTGTTTGTCCTTTAGGGTGATTACTAGTAAAGTTTCTATAGACACTGGGATGCATGTATCTTAAACATAGGGGTCAATGGATCTTAATATTTGCCTGCCCTTGACCTCCAGCTTAATCAAGCTTGTATTTTCAGAGTCTTCTCTCTTTCCATTCCCTTTGATTCCCAGCATCATAGCCTTTCCATCCTGTTCTAGTTACACACACACACACACACACACACACACACACACACCTTGTGGCTTATCAAGATCCTAGGAGAATTTGTAAGCAGTTGTATTTTCAAGAAGAAAATTGACACAATCTAGTTTACATTTGCAATTAATACTTTTGTTTAGTGTGAGAAGAACCACGTGGCACTTAAATGTCCCTTTTACTCTTGTTTTCTGAAGAGGATGAAGGGGAACAAAAACACAATTTCTAGATTTCTAAGCAGGCTCCCTCCCTTTGGCAAAAAGAAAACGGGACTTGCACGCGCAGTTCCCAGTTCTCCACAGCAGATGGCCCCAGAGCCCAGAGACTGACTTAACGGAGTAGCTCGGGTTAGGTGAGCATGGTATCAGGACAGCGGGTTTAGTGGCTCCAGCTTGAGAGCCACCAAGGCGCGCGAAGGTCCCTAGCTGCTTTAGCTGGACAGCATCGCGAATCCTCCGGGAGTATCATATCCTGCTTCGGCTGCATCCTGAACCTGGCCCCGGTTGTGTTGTCCGCTGTAGTTCTCAGCAAAGGTGACTTTAACTTGGAGAAGCCGAAGTTCCCGGGGGAGGGGGACATGAAGACACTAGATTGTCCCACAACAGTCTCCTCCTCCGTGGTGACATTAGACAAAGCCCGTTTGGGTGGGTCTTTGGTCGCCACCGCTCTTAACGGCTGCTCAACCAAGTAAGGTGGCTCCAGGAGCTCGGAGACAGGGGAAGAAGAAGGCGCCTCCATGAGGCTTTAGAAAAAGCTAATGGGTGGGACAGAGAGTACAGCTCCGGGATCTAAATTGGGAGTCTCGGAATAGAAGGAGCTGCAAGGCTGATCGAGCACGGCAAACTGGCTTGTTTGGATGGAGAGTTGCCTAGGCAAGCGGAGTACTTGAGAGCCTCTCCTGCCCCCTCTCCAGCGTGCTTTCCAGAGATGAGGTCACAGCCCCTCGGAGCCCTCCTCCTCCCTCCAGTCCCTCTTGCTCCCCGGTCTCCTCCAGCGTCAGGCGCTGGGCACTGAGAAATGAGGCGACAGTGGGCAAAGATGAAGTAGCGCAAGGGGTCCCTTGGAAAATGAGGCCAGGGTACCTGCTGCAGCTCGTGCTGCTGCTCGCCCTGCCCAGCAGCCAGTGGGGCCGAGAGTGTGTGTCTCCACCCTGCGAGTGTCACCAGGAGGACGACTTCAGAGTCACCTGCAAGGAACTACACCGGATCCCCAGCCTACCACCCAGCACCCAGACTCTGTAAGTAGCCAAGGCCAAGGCCCCTAGACAGAAACTCATGGAGTGTGGTGGAGTGCGCGGGTGTCTGGTCAGTCCCTGGACGAACTCAGTTGCTCATACTTGGGAAGGTCGTCTGTGCTGCTGACATAGAGAAACAGAACCTAAGTTGTGCTTTCTGAAGAGTTACTATTCTTTCTACATTTTGCCGCTGGATTTTCGTTTCACTTCAAATCATAGTAAGACATAAAATAACTTAAGGACTAACTTTTAAAAATTATCTTAGATAGGGCTGGAGAGATGGCTCAGCCGTTAAAGGCTAGGCTCATAATCAAATATTATCTTAGATAATAAAATTCTCCTCTCTCCCAATTCCCTTTTCAATCTCCCTAGGTGAAAAATTACCTTAATCATTTGACTCATCAAATAATAGTTAAAAACTTAATCAGAAATGGGCATAGTGGCTCTCACCTTCAATTCTAGCAGTCACGAGGCAAAGGCAGGAGGATCTCTGTGAGTTCTGGGCCAGCCTGGTCTACAGAGTGAGTTTTAGGACAGCCTGGGCTATGTAAAGAGATTCTGTCTCAAAACAAAAACTTAATCAGGAGCCCATTTATAAATGCACCCTTGGACATGTCAGAACAAAGAAGGGTTCCAGAGAAAATGGGAGGGCAATAAGAGAAGGGAATAATGGAGAATATATATATATATATATACAGAATTATAAAAGAGTAAATTAAATTATTTTAAGATAATAAAAAGTTCAGTGTGTTCTTCATCCACTATGTATAGATCCTAATTCTGAACTGCCCAACCTGTACCACACTTAGTATATCCAGAATTTCTTTTTAATATACACGGGGAAAGAGATGAAATTTCAAAAAAAGCACATTTTAATCTTTGTGCTAAATGATAGGTTCTTAACCAACATTTAAATCAGTGATTGCATAAAACAGATTGGTTAAAAAATACCGCAGAAAGAACAGTAAGACAAAGTGGCTACTTACCACCAGAGGATGTGGAGATAAAAAAACAAAACAAAACAAAAACCAAAAAACTGCAGTTCTCCAGAATTTACTGTATAGGAGCAGTTGTCAGAAGATGACTGACTCCCAGGCCCATGTTTCTGTACTGTTTCGGCTGTTAGTTGAGACTCAGGCACCCACCCTTGCTTTTTTCCCCCAAGGATGTGTTACTGCGGTAACCTCTGAGTAGCGCTTCATTCTCCACCCTGTCTTCACAGAATGAGACATATCCTTACCATAGTGATGAAATCCCTACAATGGGTACAGGTAGTCTTGAAAATAGAACTCTTGTACAGACTTCAAAATCCATACGGACAGCCTCGCTGCCCTTAGTTCTTCTGTTTGTATGTTTATCCAAGCAGACTGAATACCTGCGACACAGGGACCGTGCCATGCAACCTCGGATTCCAAACCAGCCAGCTCTCACTCACACACAAACCAGCCTTAAGTGAATGGATAAACAAATACATATTCTTGTCTTGGGTTATGGGAAGCCCAGAGGCACCCCTTCTTCACAGAGTTACCAGTGAAGAGAGACGAGCTTCTTTGAGTGCAAAGGAACTCACAAAATATTGTCAAAGGGGAAGGCTGAAAGTGAGATCACTTTTTACTCCTAAGGGCTCAGTTTCTCTTCACTTAAACATGCTTCTGAGGCTGTGGTACGGATGAAGACAGTCGCTGAATCTCAGGGGATGACTGCCCAGGGATGAATGGATCTGACCTGGAGTGTAGTGGAGACCACGTGCAGAGTCCTGAAGAGTAAAGCTATTCTAAAATGAGGAAGACACAGCTGATATTTGTTTTCAAGTATGGGCAAAGGGCATGGTATGCTTGCTCAAATAATGACCCAGGGATGTTTGCTCACAAGATTTACATAATCATCTACATAGTTAGTTACATAGTTAGGATGTATCTTGTCTTTTAATTTTCTTAGTGCTTTTTGTTGTCATATATTGCTTGTACATAATAATAGATTTCATATGACATGTATGTAATGTATATGTATTTGATCATGGTCAAACCCCATTGTCTCCTTCCCATTCCATCTGATCTTCTTTGTCTTCTTAACTAGTCTCCTATTTCACATGTGTGTGTGTGTGTGTGTGTGTGAACAAGTTTAACTAGGATTGCTTACAAAACATGAACGAGGAGTTATAGGAGCACGGATACCTTCCTATGATAAAACTCCCAAGTAACCATTAACCTCCTATAAATCCTCAGGTAGGGCTGGGGGCCTCATGATCCCCTATCCACTTGGTACTCACGGCAGGATGCTATAAGCCTCAATCTCATCTGAGTCAAGTACAGGTCATCATAGCTTTCATTAGTTCAAGAGTGCTCCAGCCATGTCATGTCCAGACAGTGTTCTGCAATACCATCCTCTTTTAGAACTGTTAAAAAGCCTTCCAGCTTAGAACACAAAGCCTTGTGCGCTTGCAGAGCTGTTTGTCTCAGTTTGCAGCATCCAGCAGGATGCTGTACAAGCAGAGGTTGCCTGTTTAATGTGCTGCTAAGGTGCTGAGGGCTTCCGCTTTGGTGATGAGAGTGGAGCAGACCTCTTCTTTCTGACGGCCCATGTGCCTGCACTGTGGGCTAGGGATGGGAAGGAAAGAGTTACAGTGTGGCTCTGGATCGTTTCTGGACATGCTTCTCCAGAGGGGAACAGTGCCCCCTCATTAAATCAGAGGTGGTGACGAGGTTGGGGGCACGCTGCTGTCCCTACTCCTTATTTGCAGCATTCAACCGTCTTTGATATGCAAGAAACCTGAAAAACTTCACTCCTCTCAGCTGCCACTCACATGAGGAGACTCAGATAAAGTGAAAGAAGGGAATCAAGGATTTGGGCTCCCAGGGGCAGCGAGATGGCTCAGTGGGTAAAGGAGCTTGCCCCACAGCACAGCGGCCTGATGCTCACCCGTTGTCCTCTGACCTCCACATGAGCACCAGAGCACAC